CTGTAAGTTTTGGAGTTTAAAATCATTATCGACTCTTCAGGGACTCAAGAGCAGTGGCCCTTGCATGCCAGAGAGCGGGTGTGAGCACGACTGCCTTGCATGGGCAAGGAAAATACTTCAGGAATCGTGTCGCTTCAAAGTCTTATAAAACACTGAACGACAACAGGCCGCTGAGAGAGATCCAGAACGTTGCCCTGGTTCTATTCTACCATCACACTGGGTTATACAACTCAACGCCATATTCCATTTTCTAGCATCTGGACTTGAGGGGCGGGGGAGGCAAGAAAGACAAATTCGTCTGCACATTTGTTCTGCGTGAAAGATGCTGGTCCGTGGCAGAATTTGCAATTTAGATTTTTCAATATTTCCTTAACAATGCAGGGCCGTGGCTGATTCTCATGTGTTCTCTGTTTAGTTTTGGCTTCGGGAAAGCTTGTCTAGCTTAGAGAAGAGGACCATGAACAGTCTAATCACAAACGCCTCTCCTCATACTCTGGCGCCGAGGTTCTGAGCATAAATCGACAGCCCCTGCCACCGAGAAGCCCATGGCCAAGGTGCGGAGGAAGCTGCCTTGCAGGTTGGGACCACAGTTTCACCCAACAAGCACAGCATGATCACTAAGAACGCAGGACATGTTCCTAGAATGACACACCCATCACCATACCTCGCTGCCTTCACCATTGTGGACTGTCTGGATCCATTGTCTTGAGAAGTCCGCCTGTGACCGCTCACATCCTCCTTGGAATTTCCTGGATGAGCTGCCCTCCCCAAGCAAGAGAGCAGATAAGCAGATGATGGTGGCTCCCGAGGGAGAGGACAATCAAAAGATTAACAATATACTGAGGACACTTCCAAAAGCACTGATGGGCACAACCCAATTTCATCCTCTTGACCTCCCCTTTACACCTGCCCAGACCCTCTGGAGGGGAGGCACACCTGCCAAGCATCAGGAGACACAAAGGGGTGGTTCTACTCAAGCATTTCAGGGCTGGAATTCTGAGCTTGTCTTCCACTCATTGGGGCATTCAATGGAGTCAGGTTTCCAGTCTCGGCCTCTTTGCTCACTGGAATTTCCACTCACAGGAGAGCCCATAATCACCACGCTAACTCAGCCTCCCGCCCCCTCCTACTGAATCAGGACCAACTCAGAAGCGAATGACTTTCTCATCCTACTGCGCACCTCCCTACACCCCAAAATCCATACGTGGACGTATACGGGGTGGGGGAGGGGGAGTTCAGATGCCTTAGGAAAAAGATATGCAGTTTTCCATTCAAATGGAAAATACAAATGAAACACATTTTTCAAATAACGAGTAAATGTATTATTTAGTTGTTACCTATAGAAGTAAATTTTAAAGTTTATTTCCAGGCTTTATACATTAGCAAAATTGGTTTACAAAATCCAATGGTAAGCATTTAAAAATACCAGTACTCTTTAGTTCTCTCTGATACAGAAAGATTTTATATAATATAGTAGTAGTTGTCCACGCACTTTTCTTCAGAAAAATGTAAGCTCATAAATGAGTTCACAGACTCGTCAGCCTCCTTTACCTCTGTGTCCCTGTCACCTGGGACGGTGCCCAGTGTCAGGAGATGCTCTGCCAACAGTAACCAATTGAATGAGCGAGCGAATACATGAGTGAATGAATGAATGAGAATGAAGCAGATAATCCATTATCAGTTTTCTACATCTCCTGATCAGTGAAACTGTTTTTATGCATTATGGACTAAAGCACGCTAGTAGCCATCAAATGTTCACTTATATTTTATTCTCGACCAATCACGGTCCAATAAGTTTTAAAAATGAAGACACTAATTTGGACTCACAAGTAGAAGAATCTGAGAAGCAACCACACAGGAAGGTCAAAAGCAACCTCTGAGTTACCATCCAGGGCTGCAGCAGACTATAATGGCCACTAGAGGGAGCCACACAACCTTTCAAAGAGCAGCATTAGCCAGAAAAAACCCATCCAGGAGATGATGCTTCTGCCCTCAGCGCTTCCTAGCATAGCTCGCCCCCATAAAATTGCTCCTGCTACTGCACTAGGCAGTGTCCCACTCGCCAGAACAAGCTGAAATACGGGGAGAGCTGCCCTTTGCAAGCATCGGACTTTTAGAAAAAGGACCCCACCTCCCCAGCTCAAATATTTCACATCTCTTTATGTACACGCCCTCCAGCTTTAAAAATATCATGTACATAGAAGAAAAGTATTTTCCCTGTGGATGACAACTGAAGCCATTAAAAATTCACCTGGAAAGAAAGCAAAACTATAACCTAATAATGAAAAAATTTTTAAAGCTGTGTGCAATTATTTTCTGCCTCCGGCACCGTTTTTCTAAAAGAACACTGGACTGTTGACGTATTCGATTTCACCTCCTCCAGGAAAGAAACTGAAGGCATCGGCAGGCTAACTGGGAAGTCACATCAGAGAGAGTCAGGATCTGACCGCTCAAGTTTCAAAGGCTTCATCTGTAAGTGAGTGTAGGAAGAAAATGATTTCCCACAAACTCTTTCTCTCTAAAGGTCTGAAGAACCCTGTAAATGTTTCCAGGGCCATTATAAGCCACAGATGTTATCAACAGGCAAGATCGTGCAAACTTTCAAAGACCTAGTCCACAAATGACACTGCTCCAAAAATAGATTTTAAAACATCTGAAAGGAGCACAAGTTAATTTCCCTTTGGAATGCTGTAAAATGTCCATGCCTTTCTTAGAACGTAAAAAGCGATCAGCTCCACTGGGCTTCTTGCTTACTGTTCTATTTCTATGGCACACGAAATTGCAGGAAACCTCGAAAATAACAGTCAGAAACTGAAAAACAGAACAATTCAAGAAAGCAACTAAAAATAACTGACTAATTAGTAACTAAAATTAAGTGCCTTCTGAGATTTCCAGGGAAGAGAGGATTCCAGAATCTGCGTTGTTTGGTGACCTGTGGGTAAATCCAGCTGGCAAACACTTGCTGATGTCCATGAAGAGAGAGACAGATGGAAACACAGAAACTGCAGAGCGTCTGGGCTAATGCGTAATTGCCCCCACTCACCAACCTGGAGAAAACCCCAACTGTCAGCACTAACTGACACATTTGTTACGAGATGAGGCTGGGCAGCTGAAAACCTTCCTGAGTGGATTAAAATCCTGCCTGCTGGCCCTGGGGAGACAGAAGGTGTGGGTGAAACTGGGAACTAACCATGATTTATACAGGAAGTGAGAAGACCTGAACTTAGAATTAAAAAAAAGAGAGTGAGTTTTAGTAATCTAATTATATCCTAATTATAACAATGACCCTTCTTCCTTCAAGGGACTTGAACATGTTTCTGGAACATTCTCTCCAAAAGTCTCCTCATTTGCTGCTTTAAAGAGAGACTTGGCGCATCTCAGAGTGAGTTAAAGTGACAGGTCTGGCATCTGACTCTCAGCTCGGTTTCCTCTGACCAGACCACACCAGCTCTCAGCTCTTGAAATGACCCCCAGTGGAATTCTCCTCAGAGGAAGCCATCTCCCCAATTATTCGAAAATGTCCTCTCCCTGCTGGCCTGTGCCACTTCCACATTATTTCCACATTCTGATATGTGAGCCAGTGTTGTTTTTTTTCTTTCCTCCATTCCCAGCCAACGAGCTCAACATCCAAGACACACAAGGGCGGGTCGGTGCGGGGGCTGGAGAATCATCTGCGGAGCTCGTGGAGAAACCTGCACGGCAGCCAGCTCAGTGCACGGGGATCCGGGCTGGCCTCCCTTCATTTCTAATTCTCGATGCCACAGGGCAAGTCACTGAGCCGCCTCATTAGGCTCATAGTCACAGCCCTGCCCCGGCCTCCTTCCCAGGTGCCTGGTCACCCCATTAATATCTGAAAAGATCCACTAAGCCTTCAAGTTGAAAGGCACCATAAGAGCCAAACCTCTCACTATCACCATCACTAAACTCCAAGGCACTCTTCACTGTCACCAATAAGGTAAATCAGCTCCCCACGTGGAGGAAAGCCCTGCTCCTTCGTGCCCATGGCCCCTAATGAGCCATCTGCAGCCTCGGGAAGGGTGTCTGACACCGACAGGAGCTCCGATGCCAGGAGGGAAGAAAAGCCAGTGAAGGGAAGTTGTGAGGACCTCCCGTGCCTCCCACCCCATGCAGCCCCTCAGCGTGGGGGGCCCTGCGGGACCAGCCCTACTCGCGCTGCGCCCTCGGTGCTGAGCTGAAAGGCCCGCCTGCCCCACCTGGGAGAGGCAGCAAGAACACTGTCACAAAGGAGCATGGAGATCCAGAGACAAGGGTGTCTGCCACCCTCTGGCTCCTTAAAGGTCTTCCAGTCCCCTGTCTTGGGACCCGCCCCTTGTTCTTGTCCCTCACAGACACCCTCCATCAAAACCCCGCCAGCAAACTCGCCGAGGTGCTGTCTCTGACAATGCAAACTGAGGCCGGCGCGTGTCTGCAACAGCAGCTGCCTGCATAAACACCACTGCCTCCCCACTAAGGGATCACACAACGCTGCCCTTAAAAAGGACGAGGACAAGGGAGGCACCTGCAGAACGCCGGCCACGGGACGCTGCCACCTCCGCATGCACGTCTTCCCCACAAGGCAGGGGGTCCGCAGTAAACCCTGGCCTGTCTTGAATTTTTCACCCCATGTTCACATTGCCTATTCAAAATAATGTTTCCAACCGACCTTCAGCTAGACAGAGGAAATTAATCTTCTTACGTGTTTCTGTGATGCATCCTAATTGTAAACCGGGAGCCCTTCGTCCCGGGGAGGTTCTGCTTCAGCTAACTGGGGGAGATCTTTCTTTTGGGGCAGGAGGGTCTAGCAGGTGTGGTTCATTCAGGAAGGGAAGGTGGAAGGAGGACAGAAGGCCACCACCCAGGTCTCCCTCCCTCCTTTGTTCCCGCGATGATGACAGACGTAACATCTGCACGGCCTGACTCAGCCTATAAATTCACCTGTGCGACAGATACTGACATGAGGAAGAGAAGACCCAAGGGCACTTTCTTTGAGTCCCACTCACAGTCTGGAAGGCTTGACCGTTGAAGCTGAACCTTCAGCCAGATGTTGCCTCGCTGGCCCCAGGCTCCCGGGGGCTCCACCTCCCACAGGCGCCCTCGCTCCTCCGGCCACGCCAACAGGAACTTCCTGCAGACTGAGAGGAAGGGGCCACTGCGTCAGGAAGGCCACCTCACCAGGTGCACAGGCCAGCCCCTTCTGCGTCCTCAGACATAGCCGCTTCCAGTTCTTCCCCCAGCCCACCCCATTCCCCCACCGCACCCCCAGCTCTCGGCTCTGACCTGCTACACGCAAACCACTGTTCATCAGCCTCACCTGCCCACCTTGTGCTCCCACCTTCATCCATCCCATCTTAGTCAGCTCAGGCGGCCATAACAAAACACTACAGACTCGGGGCTCAAACAACAGACCTTTATTTTCTCACACTTCTGGAGGCTGCAAGTCCAAGACAGAGGTGTAGCAGGTGTAGCCTCTCCTGAGGCTTCTCTCCTTGGCTGGCAGATGGCCACCTCCCTGCCGTGTCTTCCCACGGTCCTCCCTCTGTACCCGTCAGTGGTCTAGTCTCCTCTTCTAAGAACCTCTTCTTACCAGTCCCATTGGATCAGGCCACCCTTATGACCTCATTTAACCATAATCACCTCTTTAAAGGACCATCTCCACCTTCAGTCACATCGGAGGTCAGGGCTTTGACACAGGAATCTGGGGAACACGACCCAATTCAGCTACAACATTGCCCCACCCGGTCCTCTCCTCGGGCACTGTCCTCCTCCGCCCTCCTCTCCCATGGAACCTTCTAGCTCACCCTCCACAGATCCCTTAATGCCAGGCTCCCCTCAGGGCTTGTAGACCTTTATGCCCATATTCACAGGGTGAGCATTTCCACATGGCAGTGCCTGAATCCAGCCACACGGGAAGCCGCTCCTCCTCCTGCAGGTGCCCGAGGGGACTCCATCGGGCCCTCTCCCAACATTTTCGGGCCCAGGGCAAAAGCACAGATGGAAACCTACACGTGTGATGCTAAGCGTTGGAAAGGTGTAAGCCGCCAGCGGAGCGCTAGAGAGAATGTTCTGCTCTCCTGTCTTGACAAATATAACTTCCTAACAACAGGGAAAGCCAGATTCAAATTTAGAATTCTTGGACTCCTTGGAGTTTTGCACCAGAACGTGGCAAGACCAAGAGAGCTGGCCCCCAGCTGCAGCCCACCGGCTTCTCCTGCCAGCCCAGCTCGCCCTGCACTGCAAGGGGCCTGTGTATACAAATATGGAGCCCACACCCACACCCCATCCATGTCCCACCTGCAGCTGTCCCTGAAGTCTAAGGATATACAACCTGGTGACGTGGCCGGCCCTTAAGGCCACATATCCAGGGATGCAGTCCCCGGGGGCCCTCAGCAGCCACTAGCAGGAATCCTGGGGTCCTGGTACCTGGAGCCAGTTTAGGAATGACCTGGACCTGAGTGGGAACATCCTCTTGGGCCCACAAATGCCTTGCACTGTGGAAATAGGTGCAGCTTCAAAAGGCTCCAGGGGCCGGCCCCATGGTGTGGTGGTTAAGTTTGATGCACTCTATTCTGGCAGCCCAGGTTCACAGGTTCGGATTCTGGGCACAGACCTACACCATTCATCAGTCACACTGTGGCAGCAACCCACGTAGCAAATAGAGGAAGACTGGCAGAGATGTTAGCTCAGGGCTAATCTTCCTCAGGGAAAAAAAAAAAGAGGCTCAAAACTGTGGGGCCCTGAGCAGGAATCCCTCTTGTCCAGTCGAAGGGCAGGTCTGTACTCAATAAGAGCTGGTCAGTGAAGCAAGGAGTCGGCACACCCGGACCCAGTCTGGAGCCTCCATCTGCTTCTTTCTCCACACTCCACCTGCTCACTCAGGTAACCAGGCACAATCAGGGGTGATGTAAAAGCTGGAGGCCCGAGACCCCAGGCTGGGCAGCTGAAACCCCTGACATCAACAGCGTGATTCAAAATCAGCACCTTCGGGTCTTCTTTCTCTGCCAGGCGGAGACAGAGGAGGCAGAGCTGGGACTGGTCCTGCAAGGGCCTCCACAGTGCCAGCCTGGGGGCAGCCCCCACCCTTTAGAGCCCGCTATTCCCCTGAGGAAACCCAGGTGGCTGCCCTGGGGACCAACACACTCAAACAAAGGACGGGGGTGTGGATGGAGAACCAGCTGCCTGGATTCCAGAACTTTTCAACACCTCAAAGTGAGCTACACATTGCAGGAAGCCTCCAGCACTCTGCAGAAATTCCAGGATCTTCAGATTTTACAAAGAAACAACTAAACACATTTGAAGAAAATATGTTTCACCTGCTTTTCTTATAACTTAGAGCAACAGAAGCTTCCTCGCCTTTCCTGCCTCTTCTCTCCTATCTGTTGTTCCCCTCATCCCATAAGGTCACTGGAAACTCAATACTAAGGGTCCAAAAGCACCTGTATGACCCGAAGCGAGGCAGGGCCCAACAGGGGAGGCGGGGCGCTTCATGGACGAGAAGGGGAGCCTGGGGGAGAAGCTCATCAGAATCTCCCATCCTTGTTGACTTGGCCTGTGATGTTTAACACCAGGGTTTTTGGAACTTCTTCTGGCAAATCATATAAAGATTTCTCTTCTAGAATGTGGAAGACAACTGTGATAGATCATTTTATATGTAAACTCGACTGGGCCTGGGCTGCCCAGACATTTGGTCAAACATTATTCTGGGTGGTCTGTGAGGGTGTTTTTGGATGAGATTAACATTTAAATCAATAGACTAAGTATGGTGATTGATTGCCCTCCCTAAGGTGGGTGGGCCTCATCCAATCAGTTGACGGCCTGAATAGAGAACAAAAAGGCTGACCCTCCCACAAGTAAGAGGGAATTCCTCCTGCCTGACTGACTGAGCTGGAACATTGGTCTTTTCCTGCCTTCCAACTTGGACTGAAACATTAGCTTTTCTTGGGTCTTGAGCACGTTGGCATTTGGACTGGAACCACACCATTGACTCTCCTGGGCGTCCAGCTTGCCAAGTGTAGATCTTGCGACATCTCAGTCTCCACATCAAGTGAGCCAATGCCTTATGATAATCTTCCCTCTACATGTGTAGACATCCTTTCGTTCTGTTTTTCTGGAGAACCCAGTACAGGGAGTCAGTAGGACGAGAACAGGAACAGAAGGGGGAGCCGTCTCCCGCAGCGACAGCTACAGAGGTGCTCGTGGCTCTGCATTCAGAGCTGGCCTCTGCACACCAGCCACTGCCCTCCCCTTCAGCTCCGGGGCTCCCCTGCAGCTTCTAGTTGACAGGGCAAAGTCACGAACTATAAGCTTCAAGTGGAAGAACAAAGGCCCCCCGAGCACCCTCAGCAGAGCAGCAGGTCCCTGGATTCTGCTGCTCTCTGACGCTGTGTTGATTTGTTTTTTATTATTTCTAAATCCAATTATTTCTCAGGCTGCGAAAGGTCCACCCCTGGTGATCGAGCATCAAGTCTCGTTTGTGGGGAAGCAATGAGAGATTTCTCAGGAGGAAGGGAAAACCCACACGCACGTCCCAGTGCTGCCGACCCCAAGGAGCCTCCCTCCCCGGGGGAATTTCAGCATCACCCAGAGCACACACGTGTCATCCATCACCGCCACCCAAACGCTCTTCCCCGACACGAGGGGGGTTTACCTTGGTACATGGCAGGAGAGACGGGGCAGCTGAGCCCCAGGGCCTCTTCATCCCGGAATGCCTCGCAGAAGTCCCGCAGCATGGCCATGCCCAGGCCCTGGCGACGGCATCTCCTCCTCACAAACACGGTGTCGAAGACAGGCAGCAGGTAGCACGCACCTGTGCCACTGCCACACAGGCTGCCTGTGGGGACAGCAAGAGACAGGCGCTGTCCCCGGGGCTTGCACTAACCGGCCGGTGCACTGGTGCCACCTGGAAGCAGGGCTAGCTTCACAAACAACCGAAGACAAAGCAGCGGATCACTCCAAACTGCCAGATCTCCAGCTGACTGATCAGCCCACATGTCATTAACCGCTACGAGCGCGGCCACCAGCCTACTGCACTGAAAGGAAACTCAAACCTGGCTGACCGGGCGGAGCAAGGCCGTTGGTGCACCCAGACCCTTCACGTCCCTCCCCTCACTGTGCATGGTTCTCAGAGACCCTTGAGGGCAATGAGGAGCCTCTGGGCCACATCAAAGCGCTGCCTGAATGCAGGGGATGTGGGCTGGGAGACCCAGCGACACATCTCCAGGGCGTGGACTTGTCTGAGTAAGTCTAACAAAGGCTCCTCGTGTCCAATGATGGCAAAGCACATTCACCCAAGAGACGCAGCACCAGGTCCCGCTTCCCATAAACATCGAGGACCCTGCTGCAGCAGAGTGAGAGAGGCAACAGATGGTACCCGTCCCACTTTTCCACCCTCAACTTAACGTTACTGCAACAAGCGCCAACACGAGCACAGCTGCTGTTTCTGCAATGGAGACTCGGCCTTGCAGCCAGTCACCTGTTGTCACCCTAACCAGAAAATCAAAGCCATGTGGAGCCTACTACATCACCCCCCTCACTTCCAAATTGCACAGGTGCCTGTGCCTGAGATGCACTGGGGTCCAGGGAAACAAATATGTAGCGTATTCAGCTCCTGCCGGAAGAGGGGGTATTTGTCCCTGCCAACATTCAGAGGGTGGGTAATTTCCCGAACAAACAAAAAAGTGATTCAGATTCTAATCAGGCAGACTGAACTGCACAGATACACGCTACTGCAGTGTGAACTGTGTGCAAAAATGGTCACCATTTTTCCCCTTCCTATAGGCACACCCTTTTGCAGGTGATTTTGAAGCTCTGCCCATCAAGAGATGGGTCTAGTTCCCCTCCCGTTCAATCTGACTGGCCCGGTGACTCACTTTGAGCAACAGACTGAAAGCACACCAACTCTGAGGCTAGGCCTCCTGGGGTCCAGTGGCCTGTGTTCCCTCTAAGATCCGTGCCACTGGCCACAAGATCAAACCCGAGCTAGCCTGCCACCATGAGAGAAGCGTGGTCCAGGCAACATCTAGGCAGCCCCAAGAAGCAGAGCCATCTACCTGATGGGCAGATGACTACAGACACAGAAGCCAGCCCAGCTAGACGAGAAAATCCCAGCTGAGCCCCACCCAAACTGCCAACCAAAGGAATGCTGAGCTAAAGAAAGAGCTGGTTTTGTGCCAGAAAAAATTAAGCTATGGCCAACAAGCAACAACAACTCACTTGAGATGGTAACTGCAAAGTATGTGGATTTCACCCACATGTGCCGGAAATGACAGCACCACCTTGGTAGGAATCATATAACTTCCAACTTTTATAGACATTGAGAACAACGTTCTCCAAATGGCGAAGTCTTCCAAAGCTAAGAATGTTTAAAATTAAATAAAGATGCAATTCCATTCACAATAGCATTAAAAAGAAGTAAATACCTGAGAATATATTTAACAAAATAAACACAAGCCTTGTACTGAAAACTATAAAACATTGTTCAGGGGAATTAAAGAAGATCCAAATAAACGAAGAGAAATTCCATGTGCATGGACTGGAAGACTCAGTACTGTTAAGGTGGCAGTTCCTCCCCAAATGATCTGTAAGTTCAAGCCCAGCCCTATCAAAATCCCGGCAGACTTTTTTGTGAAAATTCATGTAAGTGGAAACTTACATGAAATGCAAAGTCTGTACAATAAGCAAACAGTCTTAGAAAAGCAGAGCAAAGTTGGAGGTTTTATACCACCCAGCTTCAAAGCTTCTTATAAAATCAAGGTAATCAAGACAATGTGACACTGAGGCAAGGACAGGCATAAAAGTCAACAGAACAGAACTGAGAGTCCAGAAATGCATTCTTACGCTTCGAACTTCAATACAAGTGCGAAGGCAATTCAAAGGGGAAAGGACAGTCTTTTCCATAAACAGTGGCGGGATGTTTGGACATTCATAAGCAGAAAACAAAAAAAAAAGCCGGAATAGAACAGAGAGCCCAGAAATAGACCCACACAAATAGAGTCAACTGAGCTTTGAGAAAGGAGCAAAGCAAAGTGAGTGGAGAAAGGATGGTCTTTTCAACAAGTGATGCTGGACAAGTGGACATCCACATACAAAAAGATGAATCTAGACAGACCTTACACTCTTCCCAAAAATTAACTCACAATGGATCGCAGACATAAATATAAAATGCAAGCCTATAAAACTCCTAGAAGATAACATAGGAGAAAGTCTAGATGACCTTGGGTTTGCTGATAAGTTTTTACACACAAAGGCATGATGCAAAGAAAAAAACTTATGAGCTGAATTTCATTAAAATTAAAATTTTCTGCTCTGTGAAAGACACTGTCAAAAGAATGAGAAGACAAGCCACAAACTGAGAAAAAATACTTGCAAAAGACACGTCTGACAAAGGACTATTACCAAAACATACAAAGAACTCCTAAAACTCAACAATAAGAAAACAAACAACTGGATTAAAAAATAGGCAAAAGATATGGACACCTACCAAAGAAGACAGCAAATAAGCATATCAAAAGACACTCAACATCATATGTCAGTAAGAAATTGCAAATTAAAATAACAATAAGATACCAGTATTAGAATGGCAAAGATCCAAAACGCGGACAATATCTAATGCCGATGAGGATGTGAAACCACAGGAACGCAATCACTGCTGGTGGGAATGCAAAATAGTACAGCCACTCTGGAAGACCGTTTCTTTCTTACAAAACCAAACATACTCTAACCGTATGATCCAGCAATCACGCTCCTTGATGCTTACCTAAAGGAGTTGAAAACTTATGCCCACACAAAAACCTGCACACAAATGTTTACAGCAGCTGTATTCATAATTGCCAAAACATGGAAGCAACCAAGACGTCCTTCAATAGATGAATGAATAAATATGGTATATCCAGATAATGGAATATTATTCAGTGCTAAAATGAAATGAGCTATCAAGCCACAAAAAGACATGGAGAAAGCTTAAGGGTATCTTACTAAGTAAAAGAAGCCAATTGGAAAAGCCTACATACATACGATTTCAACTATATGACATTCCGGAAAAGGCAAAACTACGGAGGCAGTAAAAAGATAGTGGTTGCCAAAAGGTAGTGGTGAGGGAGGGATGAACAGGGGGAGCATGGGGGATTTTTAGGGGGTGAAGCTATTCTATATGATGCCATAATGGTCGATACATGTCATTATACATTGGTCAAAACCCACAGAATGTAAATAAAAAGAACGAACCCTAATGTAAACTATGGGCTTTAGTTAATAATAATGTATTTTTATGGACTGAATTCTATCTTCCCAAAATTCGTACGTTGAAGCCCAAAGCCCCAGTACCTGAGAACATGACTGTATTTGGAGATAGAGCATTTAAACAGGTGATGAAGTTAAAATGGGGCTGTTGGGGTGGCCTCAATCCAATCTGACTGGTGTCCTTGTAAGAAGAAGAAGAAGAAATCTGGACACACAGAGAGACACCAGGGTGCACACACACAAAGAAAGACTATGTGAGGACACAGGGAGAAGACAGCCACCTGCAAGCCAAGGAGAGAGGCCTCAGAAGAAAGCAAACTTGCCAACACCTTGATCCTGGACTTCCAGGCTCCAGAACTGAGAGAACTAACTTCTGCTGTTTAAGCCACCCAGGCTGCGGTATTTCGTTCTGGCGGCCCTAGCCTACCAAGATCTGTATCAATACTGCTTTATGAATTGTAACAAACGTACCACACTAAAGTGATATGTTAATAAGACATGAAATTGTGTGTCTGTGTAGGGGGAGGGAGATTTGGGGACTCTGTACTTTCTGCTCAATATTTCTATAAACCTAATACTCCTCTAAAAAATAAAGTCTATTAATTTTTTTAATGTATTAGGTATTTTCTTAAATGAAGTTGGACTCTTACCTAACATCATATACAAAAATTAATTCAAGATGGATCCAGACACAAATGTGAGAGTTACAACTATAAAGATTTGAGGAGAAAACACAGAAGAAAATCTTCACAATCTTGGGTTAGGCAAAGAGTCCTTAGGTTCAAGAACAAAAGCACAATCAATTGACAAATCTGACTTGATCAAAATTGAAAATGAAGAGACAAGCCAAAGACTGTAAAAAATGTTTTAAAATCACATTTTTTATAAAAGACACACCCAGAATATATAAAGAACTCTTACAATTCAATAAAATGAAATCACACAGCCAATTAAAAAAGGACAGATAATCCGAACAGACATTTCTCCAAAGAAGACACACAAATGGTTAATAATCAGTGAAAAGATAGCCGAGTTAAAAGCACAATGAAATGCTACTTTTGACCTACCAGAATGGCTACAATCAAAAAAAAGACCAGCGAAAGTAAGTGTTGACAGAATGTGGAGAAATTGAAACCCTCATATATTGCTGATGGGAATGCATAATGGGACAGCCACTTTGTCAAATAATTTGGCAGTTTCTTAAAAAGTTAAACATATGCTTACCAAATGAGCCAGCAACTCTGCTCCTGGGAACCCACTCAAGAGAAATGAAAACCTATGTCCATACAAAGACATGGATGTGAATGCTTATAGCAGCATTATTCATGATAGCCAAAAACTGGAAAGCATGCTGGCAAATGCATAAACAAAATGTGGTACATTCATACCATGGAACACTACTCAGCAAGGAAAAGAAATGAAATGCTAAAATCGCTACCATTTGGATGAACCTCAAAAACACCCAGCTCAGTAAAAGAAGCCATATGCAAATACCATGTATTGTATCATTCCGTTTACATGAAAAGTCCAGAAGGGCAAAGTGATAGAGACCGAGAGCAGACTAGTGGTTGCCTAGAGCTGGGAGGGAACAGA